GTTCCATGCTCCGATGGAGACATGGAAACGCTGCTGCTTTGCAGCTGCGTTACCCTGCTTCCTCGGGCTTGGACCCCTAATTAATTCAGATACAAAACTTTAAATTCAGTTTCAATTTAGTAAAATTTATTTTCAAACCAATGCATTCAATTTCAGATTCAATGTGAGCAATTCAAATTCAGTTCCTGTTGACACAAGATCTATCCCACAGATAATCGACTCCCTCATGCATCCATCAAGATAAGGACAAAGAGAACGTTGAATAAACTTCTTAGCTCTTGTCCTGCTCAGATAAAACAGGCACAGTCCCATCTCCAGGGGCTGTGGTGTAATTACTGATAGGTGTGTAATTAGCTCAATGTGGTGAGATAGTGAGAGTTTCATAAAGGAGAAAGAGTCTTTGGAGTAACGAGGTTCGCATTTAATTAGCATGACGGCCTGCGAGGGAGACTGTTGGGAGAGGTCACGATCAAAGAGTGAGAGAACGGGAACGAGACGACGAGCTGGGTGAGGTTAAAGTAGGAAACAGAGGCAGAGATCGAGTGGGGAGAGGTAAAAAAAAAAAAGATAAATAATCACGGTAAAACCCTGAGAGGAGAGAGACAAAAAGGAAAGAATACAAATGGAAGAGGCGGAGAGGAAAAAGCTGATTGAGGGTGATAAATCTTGCAGAGCTCTTGGTCAGGGCCATGTAGAGACTACTACAGTATTCACAGCTTCCTCCAGGGCAGCCAGGGGAGAGGCACACTGTAAAGTTTATAAAGTACACAATCAGTAAATGTGTCGTCCCCAGAGGATTTATAATGGGTTTGGCTGGATTCAGTTCAGAGGGTTAAATGTATAGCTGCTGTGCTGAAACGTCCCACAGGGCAGTTTTAATGTATGGCACAGATCCTTTCTCCTCTTGTCCCTGACTTTTGTCTATTCAGGATCCTGCTGATGCATTCTGGTCCAACAGACAACAGGCTCTACCTTCTTATTTATACTGACAAAAACTACTTAAAAACAAGAACTAAATAACAGAAGGAATCCTCCATCTTCATTAGCACTTCATATCCCTCAATAAATATGATTTAGCTTTTTTTTAAACATATAAATCGTTCTGGAAGTTTTTATGTGTTTAAATGGATCCACAATTAGTTGTAACATTAGACTTTATTTGATAAACATATATTTTAACTAAAATAAAAACTGTAAAAATACTGTAGGTT